ACAGCCCCCCTTAGAGCCTCCACAGGAGCCACAGCCCCCTTTGCCACAGCTGGAGCAGGAATAGGCTGGCACACAGCAGCACACGGGCTTGCAGCAGCAGACGGGCACACAGCAGCTGGAGCCACAGCCCCCACAGGAGCCGCAGCCCCCACAGCTGGAGCCGCAGCCCCCACAGCCGGAGCCGCAGCCTCCGGAACATCCACAGCAGCCCATGGTTCTGGTGGTTGAGGGTGGAGCGGGTCTGAGGAGCAGGTGGGAGGGAGGTGTTGGAATATGGTGGCCACTGTTCCAGGAGCCTTTATATCCCTTCGTGCAGTTTGTCTCAAGCACGTGACTACTTCCTTGTGGCTGTTTACGCTACATCCTCAGGGAATTCTGTTTGCCTTGTACTTAAAAATAGATGCTGTGTGCTGTGTGATAATGGCCACATCTGCACTTTTACTGTTCTTCTCTGTTCCCTTCACCCTAATCCCTGTGTCAGCTCTGGACACAGGAGCTGCATGCTCAGGGTCTGCCTTGTATCCTCAGGCAGGATTCTCTGGGTTTATTTTATTCAGAATCATTGAACTTTTCTATTCTTTCTCCTTGGCTGTCTGTGCATCCATGTGCTGCTACCACCCTTAGTTATCGTGGCTCTGTGACGGGGACCCTCAGAGCCAGCGTACCTGACCTCAGCCCCCCTTCTGTCCTTCCTTCCCTCCCTCTTTTCTTCCTCCCAGCTTTATTTTTACCTGAGTTATACATGAACACAGCCAAAAAATAAAACAGTTCTACAAACACTAAAACAGCAGCAGTCTCCTGCCCTAACACCTTCAATTATCTTGGCTGGTTTCTTCTGTGATTTACCTCATCGTTTTCTCTTTTGTGTCACACTGTTGTCGTGACATCTGTTGGTTCTCCAGTTTAACTACNTACTTCCTTGTGGCTGTTTACGCTACATCCTCAGGGAATTCTGTTTGCCTTGTACTTAAAAATAGATGCTGTGTGCTGTGTGATAATGGCCACATCTGCACTTTTACTGTTCTTCTCTGTTCCCTTCACCCTAATCCCTGTGTCAGCTCTGGACACAGGAGCTGCATGCTCAGGGTCTGCCTTGTATCCTCAGGCAGGATTCTCTGGGTTTATTTTATTCAGAATCATTGAACTTTTCTATTCTTTCTCCTTGGCTGTCTGTGCATCCATGTGCTGCTACCACCCTTAGTTATCGTGGCTCTGTGACGGGGACCCTCAGAGCCAGCGTACCTGACCTCAGCCCCCCTTCTGTCCTTCCTTCCCTCCCTCTTTTCTTCCTCCCAGCTTTATTTTTACCTGAGTTATACATGAACACAGCCAAAAAATAAAACAGTTCTACGAACACTAAAACAGCAGCAGTCTCCTGCCCTAACACCTTCAATTATCTTGGCTGGTTTCTTCTGTGATTTACCTCGTCGTTTTCTCTTTTGTGTCACACTGTTGTCGTGACATCTGTTGGTTCTCCAGTTTAACTACCGCTCATGGGATTTCAGCAATAAAACGTGAGGCTTTGGCTTTCCCTAAACTCCTTCCTCTGCTGCTCACAGTTTCGTGGAGCCATTCACCAATCCATTCCACATTCGGTAACGGGGGTCGCGCCCTGGACGCTGGGGGTACCCACACGTCACCCTAACCACCCGAGCCGGCCGCCAGCCCCGTGCACAGTTCGTTCTCACCCTCAGCGCCCGCCCCAGGCCGCCGCTAATCTGCTCTTTCCACAGTCTCGCCTTCCTGGACACTTCATGTAAGTGCGATTGTATAATGTGCGGTCTTCTGTGTGTTATTCTTTCATGAGCACAATTCACTGAGGTTCGTCCATGTTGTCGTATCGTCAACATTTCCCTGTCTTTGTTGCAGGATGGTACAACCTTGCATGGATAGACCTCACGTTGACTGTCCGTCCCCAGCCGATGAACCTCCGGGGTGTCTCCACTTGCCGTGGCCGTGTGTCTTCATCTCTCTTGGGCAGATAGCAGGCGTGGAGTTGATGGTCATATGGAAAATTACGTTTAACTTTTTGAGAAAGCACAAAACCACTTTCCAGTTGGGATCCACCATCTGACGTTGCTGCCAGCAAGGCGGGAGGGCTTGTGTTTCTCACGTCCTTGGCAACCTTGCTGGTGTCTTTCTTATAGATCACAGCCACTCTAGTGGGTGGAAAATGCTAATTTGTTTTAGTTTTCATTTCCATAACGACAGTGAGTGGTGCTAAGCATCTTTTCATGGGGGGTTGCCCATTAACATGTCCTGTTTGGGAAAATGTCTATTCAAGTATTTTGCCCATTTTAAATTGGAATGTCTGTCTTCTTGCGTTTGAAGGGTTCGTTCTTTATTCTAGATGTTTCTTCAAATGCTTCCTGCACTCCATGATTTTTATTCTTCTTTTGGAATTTTGATTACACACATACCAGACTGTCTCATTTGATCCTTACGGTGATACATCCCACCTCTTTCTCTTGACGTGTGGCACTCTGGACTATGTCTGTATATGTAGCTGCCAGTTTACCAAATCTGGGTTTATTTGCGTCTAAACAGCACTTTAATCTGTCCGCTGACATTTTAAAATCAATTGTCTTTCATGAACAATGTCAGAACACTAGTCGGGATAGTCAAAGCCACACTACGCCAGCAGACAGCTCCGACTTCCGCTAATAGCTAGCGAAGGCCTCTTTCTCACCGAGGCTCCCTGTCTACTGCAGGCTGGCAATTTGCTTTTTCCTGCAACGTTATGTTTGAGAGTCATTCCCATGCTCTGGATGTGTGTACTCCTCTTCTCTTCTGCAGTACGATTTCCACTGTGTGTGTGTGCGTTTGTGCGTGTGTGTGTGTGTGCGTGCGTGTATGTGTGTGTGTGCGTGTGCGCGTGTGTGCGTGCGTGTGTGCGTGTGTGCGTGTGCGTGTGTGCGTGTGTGCCTGCGGGCGTGTGTGTGAGTGCGTGTGTGTGTGCGCGTATGTGTGCATGTGTGCGTGCGTGCGTGTGTGTGCGTGTGTGCGTGTGCGTGTGTGCGTGTGCATGTGTGCATTTGTGTGTGCGTGCGTGTGTGTGTGCGTGTGTGTGAGTGCGTGTGTGTGCACGTATGTGTGCATGTGCACGTGTGCGTGTGTGCGCGTGTGCGTGTGTACGTGTGCGTGTGCGTGCGCATGTGTGCATTTGTGTGTGCGTGCGTGTGTGTGAGTGCGTGTGTGTGCACGTATGTGTGCGTGTGCACGTGTGCGTGTGTGCGTGTGTACGTGTGCGTGTGCGTGCGTGCGTGTGCGTGTGCGTGTGTGCGTGTGCGCGTGTGTGTGCCTGTGTGCGTGCACGTGTGTGCGTGTGCGTGCGCGTGTGTGCGTGTGTGTGTGTGAGACAATTGAGATTCCACTCTGACTAAGTGTAGAAAGTCACGAGAGACCTCTGAGCTCACCATAGCAATTAAAACAAGCGGGTCAAACTACAAAAGCATGGACATTTTTAAAAATCCGCCAGAGAGTCAAGGACATGAAGAAACCCAAATGAACTGAAGTCCAGAAGGTGACGACCCCTTCATAGGCTAGAAGAGAGCCCGGCTCTTGTCACACCTGCTGGGGTGGAGAGAGCCATAGCCGTGCCCTGGACAGAGGTAGAGAGGGACCCGCTGAACGTTTAAGGACATCGTAAGTGATGCTCGAGGGCTGGTGCAACAGACAGGAATCCTGAGATGTCCCCGATCCAGAGTCCACAGCACCTGTCACCAAGTCCCATGGATCTTCTCTGAGGGCCAAGAGCTGGGGCAGGAAAGGCAACCTGTGGCAGCTCTGCAGGAGGTATGCGGGCCCCATGCTGGGCACCACGTGCCACCCACAGAAAATGGGCAGGGCAGAGAGAGCCCCTCCATCCCAGGACCTGCAGCCCCATAACTAAGAGCCCAGGGATGAGGAAGGAAAGTGGAGAGCAGCCCCCGAAGCATTCTCAGCCTTCAGGGTGGAGGGAGAGATCCAGAGTTGCTGGAAGCAGGGACAGGAAAGGGAAGGAGAGAAGACAACTCCCCAGAAACCCAAAAACCTTCCAGGGGGACTAAGGACAGCGCCCTGGGGAGCAGGGATGCTACCGAACAATGAACCCGAAGAGAAGAGGAAGCAGAGACAATCCAGAGGTCACAGGGGCGAGGTAAACGCCAAGGAATCCTGGGCACCGAGGAGCCGGAGCGGAGCAGGACTTTCTAGAACACTGGACAAGGGGCAGAGGAATCGTTCTGGAACTCTCTCCTCCCCAACATGGTGGAGAATGTGACCTTGATCATACTGAATTTGAATGCAGAACCAGGGGAGCCCAACGTTTACACCTAGGTTTGAAACAAAGAGCCATTTTTTAAAAATTAATTGTAATGTAAGTCCTTCTAGAACAGCGACGGAGACCTGGGATATAGAGGGCAGTGCACAGGGATGGACGAAGCTCTCCCCGTTCCCAGGGTCACCCGAATGGAAAGGACTTGGAACTGGAAGGCTTAGAGAGAAAAACAACATACAAGTAGGAAGTGTGACACACGGGCAAAACAATGTTTGTGTTACTTTAAATAACACTCAATTTCTCCAGCATTAGAACATAAATAGAAACAGGAAGTGACTGTGTGCCCAGCCTCACACCTGACCCTGGCAGGGGTATAAAGGGCCCAGCCAGACCCAGGAGGCTCCACACCTGAGCACTCCCTCCCC